CCCGCGCGGGGCGGGTCTGGAAGGAGGTCAGGGCGGCCCTTCCGCGCCGGGAGTCACTCGGGCAGCTCGGAGACCGCCCGGCTTCCCATGTCGCTTCTCCCCGAACCCAGGAACACCTTGGCGAGGCCTCGCCCGGGCTGGTGGCCTCTCGGATCTGGCTTACTGGTTAACTGGATGGTAAACAGGCTTCAGGGGAAGCCGCCGCCAGCCTTGGAGCCTGGGAACCTTGGGAGCGTGGCCTCTGCCCACTCCCTGTGCTGCCGCCCCTGGAGAGAGCTCTGCCTGTCCCGGCCAGCCCACGTCCTGCCGCAGGCCGTCTCTCCAGTGCGAGGCTCGATCTCGTCCTTTTTCTCCCCAGCAGCCTTTCAGCAGACGTGGAGAAACAGGCTCCGGACTAGGACAAGCCGATTGTCAATCACGCGTCTGGCAACCCAGCCATAAGACACAGAGACTCTTACAACACAGCAAGAAGGCAAACAACCCAGTTAGAAAGTGGGCGAAAGGCCTGGAATGGACATTTTGCTGGAGTGGATAGACACGGTTCGATAGCCCCAGTCATTAAGGAAACGCAAATTAAATCCGCAGGAGGTCAGGTGAGGTGGCTCATGCCGAGAATCCCAGCACTAGTTTGAGACCAGCCTGGGCCACAGAGTGAGACCTCTTCTCTGTTAAAAAAAATCAGAAAAACTAGCCAGGTGTGGTGGCGCATGCCTGTAGTCCTCGCTACTTGGGAGGCTGAGGAAGAAGGTTCGCCTGAGTCAAGGAGGTCACGGCTGTGGCGAGCCGTGATCGTGCCACTGCTCTCCAGCCTGGGGGATGGCGTGAGACTCTGATTCAAAACAAACAGACAAAAAACTTCAAACAAACAAACACACGGGCTCCACCTCCACTGGAATGGCTATAACAGAACCGCCAGCCAATACCCGACTGTTGGAGAGAACAAAGCAACAGCCCCTGCTACATTGCGGCTGGGATGTGCTTGTCACTATTTTTGTAGAGAGGAGGTCTCACCGTGTTGCCCAGGCTGGTCTCAAAACTCCTGGGCTCAAGCGGTCCTCCCACCTCAGCCTCCCAAAGCACGGGGATTTAGAGGCACGAGCCGCCGTGCTGGGCCAGTTCCTCACGAGGCTGAATCTATGCTGACCGCATGACCCAGCAATGTCACTCCCAGGCGCCTGCCCGAGAGGAAGGAAGTGAGCATCCACACGAAAACTGGCCCGGGCTGTCCGCAGCAGTGCTCACCACAGGCAGGCGTGGAAACAGCACGATGGCCCGTCGACGGCTGGCTGCGTAGACGATGTCTGGCCCGGCTGTGCAGTGGGTGACGGGGCGATATGGAGGGAAGGACCACTGCCCCGCCGTGCCACGCGGTGGATCTGAACGTGCGGCGCCCAGTGGAAGAAGCCCACCCCGAGCCCACGAGCTGTGGGACTCAAATCCCGTGGAAGGTTCAGGAAAAGCAGATGCATGCAGCCAGAAGGTGAATGAGGGGCCGCCTGGGGCTGGGTGTGGGGGGGTGGAGAAACCATAAACGGACTCACGATTTCTTTTCAGGTGGGCGCAGGGTGTCTAAAATGAAACCGTGCGGAGGGCGACAGGTACACAGCTCCGTGAGCTAAGACTCACTGAATCGCGCAGGGAAGCAGGTGAACTTGCCGTAGGCGGGTTACAGCTCAGGAGAGCTGTTTCATTTATGCATTTACTTATTTATTTATGTATTTGAATCAGAGCCTCACTCTGTGACCCAGGCTGGAGTGCAGTGGCACGCTCCAGGCCACCGCAGCCTCGACCTGCTGGGTTCAGTCGATCCTTCCGCGTCAGCATTCCAAGCAGCCAGAACTACAGGCACGCGCCCCCACGCCTGGCTGATTTTTTGGTTTCTTGTAGAGACAAGGTCTGGCCAAATTGCCCAGGCTGGTCTCGAACCCCTGGGCTCAGGCAATCCTCTCGCCTCCGCCTCCCAAAGTGCTGGGATGACAGGTGTGAGCCACCGCACCCGGCCTAAAGCTGTTTTATAGAAGGAAATAAAACGATTAAGTCCAGCCTCCAAGGAATGAAGTTTAAATTTACCGCACAATGCAACAACTCCCTTCCGGGCTCCCCGCCCGTCCACGAGAACAAAGACTTGCACACGGGTATGTTCGGTGCAGCCTTACTCCTGACCGCTTATTCATGGCAGTGGAAACTGGAAACCACCCAGATGTCTACCAAGTAGCGAATAGACAAACTGCAATCTAGCCACACAATCAGACGCTATTCAGTAATGAAAGAAACAAAATACAAACACACACCACATGTAGACAGACCTCAAAGACACTAAGCTCCAACATGGACAACATAGCAAGATTCTGTCTCTACAAAAAATTAGAAATGAGCTGGTGGTGCATACCTGTAGCTCCAGCTACTTGGGAGACTGAGGAGGGAGGACTGCCAGAGCCCAGGAGACCAAGGCTGCAGTGGGCCATGATTGTGCCACTGCCCGATAGCCCGGGCCACGGAGTAAGACCCTTACTCAAAAAAAATTTTTCTTTTGAGTTGGAGTCTCACTCCGTCGCCCAGGCTGGAGGGCGGTGGCACACTCACGACCACCCCAGCATCAACCTGCTGGGCTCTGCGATCCAAGAAATTAAATTAGAAAAAGAAAAAAGACACATCCAGGCACACTGGCTCACACCTGTCATCCCAGCACTTTGGGAGGCAGAGGCGAGAGGATTGCCTGAGTCCAGGAGTTAGAAACCAGCCTGGGCAACTTGGCAAGACCTTGTCTCTACGATAAATCAGGTCAAATTAGCCGGGCATGGTGGTGCGTGCCTGTGGTTCCAGCTACTTGGAAGGCTGAGGCAGAAGGGTGGCCTGAGCCCTGCAGGTCGAGGCTGCGGTGGCCGGGAGCGTGACCCTGCACTCCAGCCTGGACGACGGTGAGACTCCGACACACACACACCCACAAAGACACGATGCTAAGTGAAAGAAGCCGGGTCTGAAGAAACCACGTGGAGGGACTCCATCTAGATGCGATGTCCTGCAAAGATAAATCTATGGAGACAAAAAGTCAGAACAGTGCTTGCCTGGGCCGGGGAGGGGAATGGGGCCGCCTGCCCGTGGGTGCGAGGGACCCTTCACTTACCTTTCTGCCCGATGACCAGGGACTCTCCTGGACGTCATTTCCTGGACTTGTACATGCGGTGAGTTCTCGGCATGCCAGTCACCTTTGGCAAAGCTGTTAGAAACATGCAAAGGTTCCATGGCTCCTGCGGCCCCATCGGGTAAATTCACACGCCCCAGACGGCCTCTTGGCCTCCCCGCCTCCCCCTAGACCCAGGGGTGCCTCCTTCTAGCCCTGCCCGCTATCCCTGGAGCCTGTCCCACTGGCCACCTGCCCTTTCCTGGCCGGCTAGACCCCATTTCCAACCCTGGGTCTCCCTCATTGTCCTGGCAGTCCTCGCACCTTCCTTTTTTGGTTTTTTTTGACTTGAGGTTTCTCTCCGTTGCCCAGGCTGGAGTGCAGTGGCACCTCAGGGCTCACCACAGCCTCCACCTCCTGGGCTCAGCCCTCCCCTCCCACCTCAGCTTCCCGAGTCGCTGGGACCACAGATGCTGGCCACCACGCCCAGCTGATTTTTTTTTTTTTGGTAGAAACGAGAAGTCAGTCTTTAAAAAGAACAATTTTCAGATGGCCTGAAGAGCAGTCACCGGACGGAAGTGGTTTCCAGAATGTCTCAGGCCCAGGTGAGGAGCCAGACGGCAAGTTCTATCGCCAGGTTTGCCAGGTAGGAATGCTATGAGCTGGGTAAATCACCTGAATTCAAGTGAGTCTCTCATGTGTGAATGGGATATACTTGTCGCCCAAGAAAGACGGACACAGTTGTTCCTGCCAGGCTCTGCTGATCCCAGGGGCTGGAGGCGGGAGGTTGGCATCTGTATCCCAGCTACTTGGGAGGCTGAGGCAGGAGGACCGCTTGAGCCCAGGAGGCTTTTTTGAGATAGGACTTCACTCTGTCACCCAGGCTGGAGTGCGGTGACACGGCCACAGCCCCGCACAGCCTCGACTTCCTGGGCTCAAGTGATTCTCTTGCCTCAGTCCCCAAGTAGCTGGAGCTACAGGTATGCACGACAAGTATGCACCACCACGCCCAGCTCATTTTTCTATTTCTTTTTTTTTTTTTGAGTTGGAGTCTCACTCTGTCGCCCAGACTGGAGTGCAG